CTCTATCGGATTCCGGACGTCGCGGACAATAATAATGGACATCGGACATCGGCGCGATTCGAATCTATTCATAAATAAATTGCAAACGTTAAAGGGCATTCTACAATGCGTTGCAAATAACCGTTGTCAATTGAAATGTTTGTCACGGTAACCAATCAGAAGCATAAATAATAATACCATTAACGCTTCTAATTGATTGTCGCGACAAACGTTTCAACTGGCAACGGGTGTTTGCAACGCATTGTAGAATGCCCTTAACGCTAACACATGCGAGGCATAATCAAGCGTAATGATCTCTTTAGCTCAATAAAATGGGTATAGTTTCCAGTACAAAAATGACCATCACGCAGTCGACGCGAGACCTCGTCAAAGAATTGATCGCCAAGGACTCGGTCGTCATATTCTCCAAGACGTACTGTCCTTACTGTAAAATGGCCAAGGAGGTATCTATGCTCTCTGTTTAATATGAGATTAAAAACGAAACAACTACGTCACGTGACAAGTGGCTATATATCGCTGTATTGAATTTGTTGATTGACGTATGCGGGCTTCAAAAATTAAAGAAATACCTTCTGATATTCTTAGCATCTTTAAAAATTAATCAAGTTTTATTCTCCCTGCAATTTTCAATCTGACGTCTTAGCCGTTTAAGTATATCAACATTGCAATTGTTTGTGAGTCTATTAAATGTTATATATATTCTATTAAAAATTGCCCTTTTTATACTAATTTGCAATTTATTGAAAAAATTATGTCGCGTTTTCTGTACTGCGATATGTAAATTTAAATATAATAATTTATTATATACATTATATTTATTATTAATTATAAGATAAGGGAATTAGTGATAAATTATTAGTTTATAATTTATTTATTTTAATCAGTTTCTTTAAATTTTTGTGTAGGTGTTTGACTCGGTGCAGAAGTTGTACACAGTGATAGAGTTAGATGATAGAGAGGATGCGCAGGAAATACAAGATGTGCTGGGTGAAATGACTGGCGCCAGATCAGTACCCAGGGTATTCCTCAACGGAGAGTGTTTAGGAGGCGGTACCGACGTGAAGAAATTGTTACAGAGTGGCGAACTTATAAAAAAATTTTGAATTTCCATCGTCGAAGCGTCTTGTGATAAATTGTAAAAATAATTCGTTCGTAATAAGGAACAAATTATTTTAACAATAAATCAAATATATATATATCTATTCCACACAGCAAAAATTTCCGAAATACATCAGATAGATATCTTAAAGATACCCCACACACATATCCCAAATATATCTTTAAGATATCTCTAAGATGTATTTTTGATACATTTGCTGTGTGAGATACTGATGTAAGAGAGGAAAAAGATATCTTTTGAATGGACTTATCCTGCTTTCATTGCATTCTTTATTGGAAATAAAGATAAATATGAATGCGTAAACATCAATTAATTTTACTTATTAATCTTACTTTAATTACTTAATTTGTCATTTAAATTTTATTTATAGAAAATAGCTTATAAAATAAAGTTGCGTTTATCTAATTTAAGTTGCAGGTTTCAATTAAATTCTAACTAAATTAAAGTTATAATTTGATTGATTTGTTTATTGATATATTTCTTACGGCAAAAATTATAATACAGGAAAATTTCTTAACTTGTCCCTAATCCCCAACTTTATTTTCATAAAATAAAAAAAAACTAATAATTCCATTTAATTAAAAGCTGTATTATTACTCGACGAGTTAATTGGTAATTAAGTATTAATTACAGTACAGTCCGAGTTATTAAAACAAACTGTGATCGATAATTTTAATTTATATGTACAGAATATCTGCATAAAAAAGTAGCTTCAAATTTTAGCGCATTCATCAGTCGAATTACGTAAATTATTACATATTATTTTATTATTTTCACGGATAGAAAATAACACGTCTTTCGTCAGCTGCTCTTTCTGCACTTTCAGTTTCCTCGCTCTTCTCGCAAATCGACGTATCAATCTTGTCGCGAAAAGGATTTATTAGCGCGAATAAAATAAAATGTAAGCTAAAAAAAAGCGAAGTAATCAAGTTCAAAGTCGATACGGTCGACAACACGGGGTACCACGTGTCTTTCTCGATGACGGTGGTGGACACGCACACGTCTGTCTAAAAATACCCGCAGTTTGGTGAGAGTCGCTCGATCGTGTTGATCCAGGGCCGTTCGGCCGCGAAGTGAGGAAGAAATGGATCTGACGCGGTATCGCAAGATCATAATTTATGTGCTGACATTCCTGGCGTATGCCTGGTCCGGCTACGGCGCCGGGTTATTGACGAATCTACGGGACGCCGTGTTGGCGGCGGAGACGGTCTTCCAGGACCTCTTCGCCAACGCCATAACCGTGGCGAAGAAGATCAAGGACATACACGAGGTGTTTGATGCCGCCGTGGAAGAACACTGCGTCTTCAAGTGTCCTGACGGTGTGTAATCAGTGTAATTCCAATGTGTGATATCATCAGCTGTCATCGTCGCGTTATCAGGTTATTCTCCAACGGCGCGACGCTATTGGTCGGTTTCCTCGATCGATCCGCGCGGATCTCTCTCTGGCTTTTAATTGCACTTGCTACACTTTCCTTTTGGCCCCGTTTCTTTCTTATGATATTTTTGGAGCATTTGACTATAAATTTTGATTAATGTCCAAATGTTCATTTGTATTAATATATAGATTAACTTTAATTTCGGTTTAACTTATTTTTTTTATCTCTTTATAGTTTTAAGCATATTACAAGAAAGTATAAAGAATAACTTATATAAATCAAGATTGACCAAGATTAAAGTTAATTTACATTGTAAGTTTTTCATTTTCATTTTCTAGTAAACTTGTGGTTCAAGCTTAGCTTCACTTAACTTCATAATATAAAATAAATTGTTTTTTTTAGCTATAATATATGATGATTATAATCATTAAATTGATAGTTTTGTAGTAGTATTTTAAAAATTACTACAAAACTATGTTTAAAAAAAATACAATTTTTATATTATCATAAGATTAAGTTTAACCATAAATTCATCAGAAAATGAAAAATCGAGCCTAACTGAATCAGCACGTGACTCAACGAATCTTTCTGTTATATATATATTTATATGTGTGTGTATGTCACACAATAAAACATTAATAATTCTATTATAAGAAAATAATATATAGATATTATTTGATAATTGATCGCCGATTAATTTATTAATCGATGATTAAGCTAATCGAAAATTAGTCGAGATCGCTCCATTAATTTTTGCGTCTATAATTTTGCTATGAAAAATTGTCCTTTTTCAACTGCCGTTTGGTTACGTTTTCCGTATCGACCGTAGAGGTTATGAGGGAAAAAAATTGCGATAAATAAAGAATCTTGTGTTTCTCGTGAGCGCACAAATCATAAATGTAAAACGCGACGACTGACATGGTGTCATGATTGGACGAGCGGTTGCGATTGAACAAATGGCGCATTATTCAAATCGTTTTCAGGATCCATACCGAAGGCAAACTGGAATCACAAACCGCAAAGTGACGGATGCGGATCCCTTGGTATTCAGGTTCGTGTGTTTCCCTGAGAGAATAGATAAGCGATAAATGATATGCAATGTTTTTATATGTATAACATTTTTATCGCATTTTGTCAATTAATAGCATGAATAAGTGTGCATCGTCATGCATTTATAATTTAATATATAAATTTCTCGATAATTTACAATCTAAGTTGGCAATTAAATTTACAACTTAGTTAGCGCTTGTAATTTAATGTGGTTGAGCTTGCGATTTAATCTAGTTGAGTTTATAATTTAATTTGCGACGTTACTTGAAGTTTATACATTTTGCAGTATCTGTTGGCTTGCAATATTCTTAATTATATTAATCGTACCAAAGCAGAGAACAAAAAATCAAGATGACATCAAAATAATTATTAAAACTCACTTTTCGATCAATCATTTTAATGTCATTTTGTAAATACAAAATAGTAACATAACAGCACTTATAATTTCACACTCAACGATAATGTAACTATTGTATAAAACATGTATTATATTATATTTATATAAATACGTTTCCCTTGAAATCGTGCAACTTTTATTTGGCACTTTTCCTTCTATAAAAATAAGCGAGTTATTCAAGTGGTCTGTTTTAGATGCCTCACCCCTGTATTGTTGAATGCGAAATTATATAGAATGAGATGATACAATTCTGAACAAAAGAAAATTTGAATCCAATTTTCAAGATTCAAGTTTGGTAAACCGCCTCTAATTGTATGGAGGGTAGTGAAGAGTGTGTATCAAATAGAAAAAAAATCACACTTGAAGTTTGAAGATTGCATTCAAATTTTACTTCATTTAGAATTATTCGAAATTGTACCATTGATTTTATGTTACTGTTAGCTGGTGTTGACTAGGCTGTTGCTCTGTTTGGGTATAATCGTTTCAAATTATTACGAACATTTATAGGTGAACCAGGAATATCTTCCACTCGCTGAAATGACAAAGTGCTGCGACGCTCACGATATTTGCTACGACACTTGCAACACGGATAAGGAGAAGTGCGATCTCGAATTCAAAAGATGCCTCTACAAATATTGTGATACGTACCAAACCACCGCCATCAGTATCGTCAAAACGTGTAAAGCCGCGGCCAAGGCTCTTTTCACGGGAACGATTACGTTGGGTTGCAAGAGCTTCCTCGACGCCCAGAAACAGGCTTGTTACTGTCCCGACAAGTGGAGTAAAAATAAAAAATCGAAGAAAGCGGCGCAGGCCGGAGGAGAATTATAACTTTGCACATATAATATAATATAAAAATAATAATAAGATGTATTTATACAACAAAGTGTATTAAATAGAATAGAAATTTGTAAATTTTGCATTTACTAACAAAAGCCAGAATTTTTGTAATGCCGTTCTCCTCATAGCATAATTTGTAAGCCTTAGATTAAACGTATATCGAATTTTGTAAAAGATATAAAAGAGCTAAGTTTCCTGTTATAACTGTAAAATAATTGTTATTAATTAGAAGTTTTGTTAAAGTGAAGATAGAGAATAAGATATGTGTAATATTAAATTAATTGAACGAATTGAAAATGATTTCCCTTTTGTAATATCAATTCAAGTAAAATCGTGTTTGTCTTTTGAAAAAACAATGGACGGTCTTTCTGATACAAATGTCAATGTGACAATTGTCCCCGGACAAAATCACCGTGCTGGGACCGGCGTGAATAATAATAAATAATAAATTATCAAGTAACATTAATTATCGAGACATTCGCTGACACTTCCGTAAGGTGAAGCGGAAATGGGAAACGCTAACTTCGCGCAACCTCCCAAGATTCATAAAGACCGGAAGGAGGGCGAGTAAGATAATTTCTACTTTATGACGGAACTGTCTCGTATAACTTCCCATTTTTTATTTTTTTTTTTTCATTCTGGGAATAGGCTTGTTTAAGTCACTCATTTATATTCATTTAAAATTTTTGAAAAAGCGTCAAAAGTGAAGAAAAATATGCACATCATTTTCCTGCAATCTATATCTCTATACGAAAAATTTTGCTGATTAAATTCCTTTCTTTTTTTATTTATATTTAATTTTATAAAAAAAAGTTATTTCCTCAACTAATAATTATTTGTATGGATGTAAAGCGCAAGAATTGTTTGCTTTTGACATTGTAATATAGAATGTAGTAGGTGGAACTTATCTTATTACGAGATCAATGGGACACGCAAAAGCATACTTTGCAGTTTTGCCTTTCACGTAGCGCAGATACCGATAAAGGTAGACAACCCGCGAACGGAAGCGGTAAAGCCGCCAGCCAAAGTTCACAGGGCCAAAAGGATGGGCACAAAGTCGGTTCTCGAGCGACAAATCCTTTCATTATTTTCTTTCTGCGACTTCGCAGCAAAAAACCGAATGAGCATGTTACCGTGATAGCGCGAGCTGCGGGCAAATTGTGGTCCCGGATGACTCCCGAACAGAGAAAGAAATATGTGGATCTTGCCAACGAAGAGAAGAAACGACGTCAGGAGAGGAAACGAAAGAGAAAACGATCGTCCACACATTCGAGGTAATCCGTAAAAAAGAAATAAGAGTAATGACGCATAAATTACCATCAACTCTAAGCCAAGTGAACCGTTTAAGATAAAAGTGGACTAAGTCCATACAATTATAAGGAGTTCAAGAAGATATAATAATATATCCAAGTAATGTATCTAGTAAGAAAGTAGAGGAATGTAATTTGTAAAATCTAAGAGAGATAATATATATCTCCCAAAAAACTACATTACATAAATTATGGACTTATTTCACTTTTACTTAGAATCCTTCAAATGCAAGCTAGAGATGTGATCGCATTCCTATGTCCAGGATGAAGTAACAAAGCTTGTAGAGGATCTATCTCGCGCAAGGAAGTGATCTTACGCGCAATATGTCGTCGTACGTGGCACCTGGAAACAATCAAAGATGCAATTACGTATTTTTGATTTCTTTTTATTTGTTAGTAGTCTTTTTTAGATCTATGTACAATAAATATTGATGTATTTTTATACATTATTAATTATCTTATCATTCAATTACTCTAAGCTAGGCGATCTGCCGTTTATCTTTCGTTTTTTTTCGTTTCTCTCGTCTGAAAAAATTAAACTCGTAACGTTTCGTACCATAAATATATTATTTTTTTTTGTCGTCACGACCGTTCCGCGAAGCGTCGCCCACAACGAGGGAGGGAAATTACGCGATTCGGGGCAATATCTTCGGGGTAACGTGTTTCACGCTACCGTTCCTCTTTCCTTCACTTCGCGAAGGGAAATCGACGTATGCTTTCTCTCGCGATTTCGATACAAAAAATAATTTCGGCACGAGTCTCGCGACGCTTCGTGGAAGAGCCTGATTGCGCGCTCCGTTATTCTTTCCGAAACTAGAGCTACCCTCTCGCGATATTAGATAATAAAAACATACAGAGAGTAATGAATACCGAACGAATGGGTGTGACATCGTACATGTGACAATTAAAATATAACGTATGAATATGTTTCTTTTGTAAACTGTGTGTTGTGTGTGTTGTGTGGGTCTGTTTTGTATGTGTTTCATCATCTCCCACAATAGTAATGATTATTAATGATAATAATAATGATAACAATTGATAAAAATTATGTAAACGATGGCGCTGACGATCGAGATTGACGATTTTACACTGGTGAGACGATGTCGGCGACAATTAAACGACTTCCGTAATAATACAATGAGGATTATCATAGCATTACGCAGTTACCTTTTCTTCTTTATGATACAGTAAAGTACAAGTGTGCCAACTTAAATAACAATGTTTAACAATTTATAATATCAAACAGAATATTATTCGCAAATATATTTATATATATTTATAATATATATATATATAAATACATAAAACGTAACACTGCTGCGGTTCGCGAAGGAATGCCCTACTAAAATAGGTATCCGCATTTTTTTCTTTTTTTTATCCCCCCCTCCCCACTTTTCTTTCTTTCAAATTAGAAATGAAAGAGCGATACCTTGGCCGACCGAAATTAATCCGTCCAAGATAACGTCTGATCTCCCTTTCTTTTTTTTTTCTATTTAAAATGCACAAGTATGCGTACTTGTGCCTTCGAAGAATCATCGATCGATAACTATGATTAAATTGTACCTTGTGTGCAATCTTTGTCGACAAGTTAAGAATCAGTTTAATACGAGCCTTCCTCGAGCACGGAGAGGAGAAACGTCCCGCTGTCGACGGGCGTGAATAAAGAGACGAAAGGGTTATATCAATATCAATTATCCTCTCTTATCTCTCTCCTCCTGTTTTTCTGAAATTGAATGTGCAGTTAAAACAGTAATAAGCATATATATTCGCGCAACGATTTTGATTGTACTAGGTACACCAGTCATTCGCGAATATAATCTGCTGGGTCACGATAAAGAACTAAAATAAGGTTGTGTGCTTGACGAACGGATTACCGAACGTAGATTCTGCTTATAAGCGTGTCAGAGTTATCTTGCGATCTGCACTGTCCATTACGGCTATCGATGTATGCCTCTTTGTATTCGCCAATCGCAGCGATTTCAGCACCATCATCTTCGGAGGCTCCGTGGAGTACCTGGATCGGAAAAGAGGATTGTCGCGAATGGATCAGTGCGACGAGAAGACTCGAACAAGTCTGGTTCGCGGACAGAGCTGGTGAAGGCAGCGAGTGATCGGGGAAGTGCAGCCTGCGGCGTCAATCACATGGTAGAAGATCGAAGATGGGTCGCTGTCGATGATCGTATCGAAGGGAGCATTAACTTGTCGCGCGAAGAAGTTCGTTCGTCCGTCTGAACGTCGAAAGAGATTGATCCGATTGGAGTAGGCGATAATTGCGGTGGCTAGCGCGGCCTCATGGAGCTGTTGAGGGGTTGCATGAGGCCACCATTGATGTAACCGTGGTACGTAGTGTAAACAGCCGCCGGATTCTGTTGGTGCGGGTCCTGCGGATATGGTGCTGGTACGTTCACTACGCCGACTGGTAGCTGGCTCGCTTGGTTCATAAAGCCGCCAAGCTGCGCTGCTTGATTCATATAACCGGTCGCTGGTTGCGCTACCCGATAACTATACTGGGCGGCTGCCATGAGATTCGTGTTGAGGGCAACATTCGGGCTAACGCGGCTCGCCGCACTTTGCATCTGTGGACAGGTACCGCTCGGATCGAGGGTCTGCCGGTAGAGACTCTCGCTAGGATACGGCTGCGTGAGCGATGGCATATTGTTCGCGGAAGAACGCGAGGTGGATCGGCTAGGCGGTCCGGGCGTGCCGGGAGGCACGGTGTTGACGTTGTAACAATAATTTTTTGCGTAACCCAAGGGTCCAACTTGAGGTGGCGTTGGTAGCTGCCGCGATGTCTGCGGTGGTGTCATAGTATGTGGGATGGGTGGCGGTGGCGTGAGGTTCATCGCCGGTGGCGGTGTGGGCGGTATCATCTCCAGACCGTTGGTCAGCTGTTGCAATTTCGCCAGACTGCACGAATTGGTGGTCTGATGACTACCACCGGAAGTGGAGAGTGGGGTTGGCGCTGGGGTATGCGAATGTGGCGGCATCGGCGGGTTTGTTTGTATGTAGAAATTCGTAGCGGTGGTGCAAGGTGTCGGCGCACCGGAACGGCCGCTGCGATGTTGGATCACAGCGTAGGTATTCTGTGGGAAACCCTGCGAACCCGCTACTGCCATATAATTCCCTTGCGAAATCACTGCCATGTTGTGGGAATGCGCGGCGTGCGGGGTGTGCGAATGCGGATGTACTGCGGGTGGTACACTCATCGACGACGGCGATTGCTGATATTGCGGTGGCATCGCAATGTGCGCCGTGTGTGCCACGGACACATTGCTGTGACTGGTCTGCGATGTCGCGACGCTGTGCTGAGAAGTCTGGGTAGCATGAGCCGGTGGAGTGGCTCGATGTGACCTACTACTCTGTTGCGTCGATCTGGATCTATGTGTAGTCTGTGAACCGCTGGCGCGCTTGCTGTGTGATTGATGAGATTGAGTTTGCTGTTGTTGAGGCTGTGGCTGTTGCTGATGCGTAGATTGTTGTTGCTGTTGCGACTGTGCAGACTGAGATTGACTGTGCGCCATACTTTGACTCTGCGCTTGCTGTGCCAACGATAGTTGCATTGGTTGTGGCGTATGTGATTGGGGCAACGGCTGAGGTGTATGGCTTGGTGGCAATGGTTGCGGACTCTGCGTAGGTATACTTTGCGGCGTGTGCGATTGTGGCATCGGTTGCGGCGTATGGCTCTGCGGAAGTGGCTGTGGGCTCTGGGTCGGGATGCTCTGCGGAGTACGTGGTTGCTGGAGGGATTGCGGGGTATGTGGCTGATGCATCGTGTGTGGATGGATGCTCGGATGATGAGTCGGTGGTGTATGCTGCGGCATCGAGCAATCGGCGTATTGCACTTGCTGCGGTATATTCACCGACACCGATGACGTAACAGGCGTTGTAATCTGCATGGCGACTGAGATCGGTACGTTTGCAGGCGGCGGAATAGACGGTAAAGCACTGGGAGGTCTCTCCACGCTATTTTGCGATGCAAGATCACTGGCTATGGAAGTGGGCGATTCCAGGCCCAATTGACTCACATCCAGATCGCACTGGCTGTAATGCAACGAGTGCACAGAATTAGTCGTCGAGTCCGGTGTGTAGACTCCCATAGATGGCAAATCTGGTTGCGACGGTGGTGTTCTCTTCACTGAGCCCGGATTTTCAAGATGTGGCGTGGTTTTACCGCTCTCAGGCGAATGCTGTTTCAGTTCCTCCGTTTGAGTTTGTAATTGCAAGGTTGTATCCTGATGTTCTACTGTGGGCAACGGTTTCTCCTGCAGCGTGAGAGGCTCGGCTTCCGATGTCACCACCGCGTTGATGAGAGTGCATGTGTCTTTCTTTTCTACGGGTAAAGGTTCCATTTTCGGTCGCGACAGATCAATTTTGACATCCTTCGGCGTTTCGCTAACGAGCTCCTCTTTAAGAGGGATATTGCTATCATCATCATCCTTCTTCGGCATAATGCTGCTCTCCGATTTTTCGACTTCCTCCTCTTTTGGTGAAACAACTGGTTCAGGTACTGATTTCGATGCCTCCGGACTGCAAACTGGGCGCTTGTCAATCTCGGAGTCCTTATCACATTCGTTTAAAGTTTCAGTCTGATCGTCGCCGACCGTTGGTGATAGATCCGCTGCTTCCACCTTCTGCAACGAACTTTCGTCGTTGTCTTTCTCCTGAATCTTGTTATCCGCTTTCTCATCCTCACACGATTCTTTCACGGGGTTCTCCGTGCTGGGCGAGGCCAATTGCATCACTGGTTTAGGCGTTGGTGCGGTTATTTCTTCCTCTTCCCCTTCATCCTCATCACCGCCCTCATATTCGCCGGAACTCGCGGATACTACTTCCGTTTCCGTGGGAACAGGCAAACCATTGTCCTCCGCGCTCTCCTCATTCTTATTATCGCTGTTACCGGAGTGCTTCGTGGACGGTGACTCTGGCACAGACGGCTGTTTATCTCGAACGGGAGAGCTCTTCATCGATTCAGGCGGTGGAGACAATGAAGGTGGCGGTATCACAGGACTTTCGGCTCTATTCTTCGTGCTGGGAGATTCAGGCGTGAGTTGCGGCATCTTTAGAGCTTCCATCGTTTTACTTCTACTCCGCCTAGATAGTGAAGAGTTCTTAATATCCCGCGCTTCCTCTTTACCATTACACTGCGTCGCATCCTCCAGAGCTTTCTTTTCCTTTGCCTGCAACTTAGTTTGTCTGCTGGTAACTTTCAACAAAATATCATCTACTTTGCATTGTTTCTTTGCCAGTTTAGGTGGACTCGACACAGAATCTAACTTAGGAGGTGTTTTTCTAGTGTCCACCAAAGTTTCTTTCAGAGATTCTCTTTCTTTTGCTTTATTATCTCTCTCTCTTACTTTATTCTTCTCTTTCTCGCGCTCTCGTTCGCTTTCTCGCTCTTTCTCCTTTTCCTTTTCTTTCTCTCTTAGAGATTCTCGCGTCCTTTTCCTACTGCTGACTTCAACTTTCTCTTCCTCAGCCTCAATCTTCTCGGAATGTTTTCGTTTTCTTAAAGGTGTGATGATTGATTCGGACGTAAGCGTCTTAGGTGGTCTGATCCTTCTCCTCGACATTGTCATTACTGGCGTCGATTTTGACGATGTCGTAGGAGTTGCATTTCTTGCCGAGCCAAGGGCGCGCGCGTTTCTTGGTGTAGACGTTGTACTCTTAGCGTCTGTTTCCGCGCGAGAATCTTTCCGATTCTCTGTGCTCTCGACGTTACGGCTTTCTTTTACAGATTCTTTTGGTTCTCTCAACTCTTTTTTAATCTCCTTCGTATCTTTAACATCCTTCTCTTCTTTGACAACGTCCTTGTGAGATGCTGCAGTCTTTTGCGAAGCCTTCGGTTTCACAGGTGTTGATTTTACAGGTGTCGATTTCGAAGGTGTTGATTTCAAAGATGTCGATTTCAAAGGTGTTGATTTCCTTTGGCTTACTCTTCTAGCCCGAGATTTCTTCTTTATCTTCACTCTTTGTATCTTCTCGACGACAGCTGGCATAGGTTTAGGCTCAACTGCAGGAGACATTTCCGAGCCAGTGTCACCGTTCTCCTCCTGATTCTGATACGGATTAGGGATCTGCGTGACTAACGGTATCCATCTGAGACAGTCGGCGTCCAGTTTGATGCGTAAACTCTTCCGTACTTTCGCCATGTGAGCATCTACTTTGCTCCAATCGACTACCACAGCCACTTTACTAGTGTTCACATCTCCTGGTAAATGAACCGACCTTATAAATCCAAGCAATTGCATTGCTGTGGCGATATCATGCGCAGATACGCCGGTTTCCTTCGTGATATCGCCCAGCTTGATCTCAGTATCGTTCCGATGCGTGTCCAGGTATTCGAGCACTACGCTCTTCCAGAAGGAATGATACGACACTCGACCGAGGTCCGAAAGCGGTTTCTCCGGTGTTCCCGGGAGGCCTTCGACCTTGGATAACAGGTAACTGAATTCTATGAGAAACCTGCCAAAACCTTGTCGTTGATACTGCGGCAGAGTCATAATGCAGGATACGTTGTACCTTTGAGCCGGACAGTGTTTCTCCTTGCTAAAGTAACCTACCAAATGACAGCCGTGTTTGTCGTTTTTGGTCATAGCATAAAAGAGAAACGGCTCGACGTCATAGTAGAGAGTCTTGTGATCCAAAAATAACTTCGCCAGTAAACACAGATTTTGACAATATATTTTGTTTACATTACCATCAATCTGAAATATAAAAATATTCCCTTTAGTTTCGTTAACCAAATGAGAAAAGCTGTAAAATATCTATTATAGTACATACCTCAAACACGGATAATCCATCGCACCTATAAATTTCGGTGGCGGGTGGATGCCTCCACTGACACTTGTCCATGTGCCTGTCCAGCACAGCCCGGCTTTTCGTGTACTTGAGACAAAATTCGCAGAAGAACAATTTCGGTAATCGCGCATATTCTTGAGGGAACGGACTCGAATACCATGTCTCCACTTCGTAACGACCGAATACTATCGCGGCAGGATTTCGTGGTGCGCTACCGGATGCATTCGGCGTGTTAACGCACAACGATTGTTCATTCTCGTCGTTGCTAACCGTCAACCTAGCCCTCTCACGAGCTTCTTTGATAAGATCCACGTCTTTCTGTGTGACTCCTGGGGGTAAAGTTTGCGGTACAACTGGTTCTTCTGTAAAATGAAGAAAAATGATTACGAATGTTAATTGAATTCGTTCAGCGACCTGTGTGTACATTTTAATATTATATTTCTTGAACAATATTTTCTTTTTTTCTTTGTTATAATCAATTTTATAAAAAATCAGTCAATATTTAATCATTAATAATTACTTTACGTGATACTGCTACCTACAACTGTAATAGTTTATTGTATAAGAAAAAATAGGAAAAATGATGTGTCAATGAAAAGAAAGTTAACGAACAAATTCGTAAATGAGAAATGTCATGAATAAGACACGATAGTTAAATACATTATATATGCGTATAGTTTGAAAATATTATTTTTAAAGTATGTTGATGAAGTGCGCACTGATGCTGCACGTTACAAGATAAAAAATAAAATTACGTTGATATTGTAACAATGACTTTTTCTAAATGTACAAAGAATGAAGGTAACTTTACTAATGTTTATTAGTTGCGAGATTTAAATATTTATTATTAATGATTTGAGTAAACTCTAGATATTCAATATAACGGAGTATTAGTCACGTCCTGTTGGAGAAATCAGTTGGGGTCAAACATAAAAAGAAAGCAAAATTAATCGAACGGCATAGCATGGTGATAATAGCGATCTAATGTAATATGACAAAAGAATGCAAATAATTCATTTGCCGTTAATAATGTGAGTAGTATCCAAAGCAAAGCTGTGGGTTAGATTAGTGGGATGTGTTGGCAGAGTATCAAAGTTGGCTCTTCGACGGCAGGAACTTTCTTGTCTTTTTTCGTGAACAGGTAAGGGGCGGTGGTATATAACAGTGCCTGCTAAGTGTCAGCAGCAGCAGGTAGGCTCCAGTGTGAATGGTACAAGAGAGCGGCTGAGTAAAATAAGCCACCCAGTGCCGTATTTTTCTTCAGTGCCTGGAAATTATACCTCGGTTTTTGTACAAGGAGGGGAAGAAAAGAGAACGAATCGATCACGTAGCGTTTGATTAAGCATTGCACAGTACGAAAATGAGTTTCATTTTGCATAAAATGTGCAAGACTGATCACGTGTATGTATTTTTTTGAAAAACAAAATTTCGTAACGTCTCTGTAAATTAACTTGCCGAAATTCAACAAGAGAACTTGTTTTTCGCGATTGATGTCAGAAATCGTGTAAGCTATAATATAAATCGGTCAATTACTCAAAATAAAGAATAAGAGTCGAAATGTTACAATGAGAAATTAAAGTTTCTCTGTAAAAGTGCGAATGTTATATGTACATGATGTGATACGTTTGCAGATGCGACTGTAGTTAAATATCCTGTACAAGTATTCTGAAAAATGATAAGATGACTAAATTTAAAACAATAAATATAGGATGAAGGCCTCTACAAAAGGACGTATTCTTCAAAATTGTTTTAGTATTTCTTGATTTTATAGCCATTTCCAAATGTAGCATGGACAAAGGAAAAAAATGCCAGAGCCAAGTAATAATATGATTAACAACATGCAATAACCACAAGAGTATCCACAGTGTAAAACAAATGAAAATGAATTCTTAATAAATTCTTCTAATAGATGTATATATCTCCTAATTATTATATTTCTGTACATTTCCTGCAATAAATATATCTACATGTTATCATTGGTTTTACACTATGTAGCAGATTAACATCCTGTCAAGAAACCTGATTGTTCACGATTTGTTTTTAAGATCAATCATATTAAGTTGTAATTAAATTTTTTATATAAAATATTTTTTTAATTGAACATGTCTCTAAGCTAGATAATTTTTATAACTTTATTACACATCGGAACAATCACGTTATCTTGAAAAAAAGTTACGGTTATCAAACGCACGGTCATTAACACCACACTCATCATAACACCACACCGCCAACACATCCACGTGATCGTGAGCTAGGATTAGATTAGAAGGAAGTCTTCATTGCGACTTTTTTTAGGGTGCATCGAGGTTAGGAACTTGTGAACGGGTGGGGTAGACTCTTACCCTTCCTGATGGAGCAGGGTGTCGCGCGGGGTGTCGTGGTGGTGTTGGTGGTGGTGGCGCTAGTACAGGTTCGTGGATTGGATTTTGGATTGGGATTTGACTTGATAGGATCAAAACCGAGGACTGAGAATTTCCCAACGGCGGGTACAGGGTGGCGTATGTTCGTATCCGAAGCCATTTGTTTCTTTCGTGATTGTTGTTGCTGTTCGTGTTTCGATGATGGCGATGATGGATCCGCGGCGCATTTTACAAGTGACGGTGCGTCTCGCATCAGTTTTCTCCTCTCGTGTTCGTGTTTTTTACTATTCACTGCAGTTTTTACCAGACCAGAGGGCGTCATTCTCGGTAATTTCTCGTTAAACAAACTTAACATACTCTCCTCGGAAGGTACAAAGATACCGGGCTTCGGTAATCTCGATATCTCAAAAGTAACTTCAGTCTTTTTACGATCCTTGAGTTTACTAGTGCCAGTCGAATCGTCTGGTTTGTTTCTCTGTGTTCCTTTCGGAATTTTGTTCGTTTTAGCAGTATCTTCTACGTTAGGCCTTTTTCTTCGGTCTGGAGCATAATTCGGTGCCGGTGCACCAGTCGATCTTGCCCTGCTATTTGCGGATGCTGAAAAAAAGTGACTCAAGCCGTCAAAGAGACCTTTCAATTGGCCGCTTCCGGGCTTGACCTTGTTATCCGTGTTTGCAGCACCGGTAGCGTTGCGTTCGGATTTATCTTTCTTTTTACTATCCGATGGACTGATAATGGCTGGCTGTTGTATGTGTAAGCCAAAGGTCGGTGTATCGCTCACATTGAGTTTAGGTAAAGACGCGCCAAAAGTGTTGGTGATATTACTGAAGAAAGGTGAGTCTACGTTCAGCTTTGCTGCGGCGGCAGCAAAGCCCCACGGCTTGTCCTCATCGAGGTCACAAGCGAATGGCGCCTTCGCCTTAGGAGAATTAATTCTCCCATCTTGGACGTCGTCCGATGAGGAGGAATCGCTGCTCTCGCTCGAGCTATTGCCCTCCTCATCGTCCTCATCGTCATCTTCATCGCTACTGTTACTGCCCTCTGAACTCTCACTGCTATTACCAGCCTCGCTGCTGCTGCTGCTACTGCTGCTGCTACTAGATACGCGCGACGTTCCGATTTTCTTCGGGTTCGCGGCACCGCCCCGAGTTGACCTAATGTTAACATTCCGCGAGGGCCTAGATTTATCACCGCCCCCCACCCGCTTCAATTTATTGTGCTCAGCATTAAATGCTCTCAATCTAAAGAATTTTTGCTTCTCCTTGGAAATCCTGTCGTTCTTTTCCTCTAGCAGCCTACCCTGGCCTGCGAGTGGGGTGGGGGGTTGTGGTAAAGGAGAGGAAATCATAGGTGGTTGACGAGGGGAGACAACACCCGCATTACCGTCCGAGCTGCTGTCAACCTGAGCCACTACCGCACTGCCTTTCTTGCCTGGAGTCGCGTTCGCCAAGCTCTTTCTGGATACCATCGATCTGTAAAGAAGTAACCAACAACAAGTATATTAATCCTGTCATATAAAATTATATTACTATACGATTGTATTTTTTATCTCAAAGTCGAAAATATTATTTGTTACAAGGCAATGCGAGTGCAAGAGAACATTTGTTAATCAAATATACATAAACTATACACACTTTCGATTCTCGCGTAACTTGCTGAGCCTCTTCCTCGCGCTAGTCGGCGTGTCGTCGATCGAATTCGCATCTTGCGCCTTGCCTCGTTTACCATCTTCCTTGTTGACCGGCGTGTGTGCTGTTTGACAATGCCGGCACTTCCAGGGTGCCTTGATTTTCTTGTCGAGGGCAGGCTCGATGCAAGCGGGATGGTAACACTTGACGCAATCGGCGCACTTGACGAGATAATTTTGCGACTCCCGTTCTAGCTCACAGCCGGCGCAGGTTGGCGAACAACCGTCGCAGGACCAAGTTATACCTCGATCGACGAGTATCGAAAGCTCCGGTGGCGCACAAGAATTATGTAGAGCCGCGCCACAAACGCAGCACCTGCTTAGCTTTTCGTTGGCGTTCCGCTTGCTATTATTGTTGTTACCGGCCATCGTGGCGCCGAGGCACTCTCTGCATATCGGCAATGGAGCCGGCAACTACGGGAAACGAACAGAAATCGATAAATCGATTAAGTAAAAATATCCAAATAAAAGTATCTAAGTAATTATAACATAACGTAGCGTATAATATTAGAATTTATAGGATTTATGTTATTTTCAGCTTTGTCCATATACAAACTTATAAAATCGATATTATGTTACTGAGAATTTTTCTTGTCATCTGGAAGAGAGAGGAAAATCCTATAAAATATATATTTGAACAGTGAAACTTCCGTAGCCTTCACACACCAGCTGCGTATCAGCCTTCACATATCGGCGGCTCGATACCATCTATCATTGCGTATTGCATATACAAAAGACGAGTGAGTCCCGGCGCGGAACATAATTATTCATTTAGGTGGCAGTAACGCAGAAATACTGGCTAGACACGACGGTACTCTTATGCACCGGAGGGGTGCATCTTATTAAGGCGTGTTGCGCCAACCATGCAGCAATTGTAGCGATAATTTTGAAAGAAACGCTCGTTCACACACAAATATTCTTTACATTCAAGGAAGTATTTTGTAACATTCTCGCGTTTTAAATCCTACGTTTTAGTCCTACATTTAGAATTATTTCTAAGCTTGCAACAAATTGGAGTTACTCATATTATATATCTATAATTAAACATATAAATTTAATATAATTAAATTAAAATCAGTCGTAATATGTGTAAGACATAAACCAATATTAAAATGTCCCTTAACCTCCAAAAATTTAAAGAAATATTTAACTTGTTAATAAATTGTGAATTTTGATTCTTCAAAGGATAAAGAAAATTTTCCATCTCTGAACAAATAAACTCTCTTTGAAAAAGGTTTCGTGGGGTAATATTTTTTTTTAACGTTTGCTCGTTAAAGGAGAAGCAGTAATCTAATGCAAATGCACGCGCGGGGCTGTTGTTTTCTTTAGTCAAGAAGACGGAACGAAATTAGAGAGAAAGTGTATGCGGGCAAACACAGCCTCCGTTTCTCGCACCAGCCGCTGCGACCTGTTGCGCGATTGGACGACTCGCTGTATCGGCGCTTTTACGCGTGCATCCGCAAATGCTTCACGCGCCAACGTCGTCCGTTAATTCCACGTCGAAGCCGCGCGAAACATACTCCAGGTCATCGCGATTCAGGGCAATATTATTTTATCGTGTTACAAACATCGATCCGATGGACATTCAAATTAGTTTCATCGCGAAACAAGGACTAATAGTTTTATCTAAAATCACGTGTCTTTAAATGTGGACAATAAGACCGGAGCACAGAATCTTTTATTTCATGGAAAGGAAGGAAATGAAGAACTTCGATTAATTCATTTTCTTATGTATTATACAAGATTCTGTGCTCCCACGATAGAAATTGTTCACTTTAAAATTATTTTTCATCCCGTTATTTATCAGGTAGACATCCGTCTTTATGAAAGTCTTGATATACACATTTCTATGAATTTAATTTAATTTTAATCTCGGTTCGGTACTATCAAGTTGCTTGATAGTAATACATTTCAGAATATTTCCTCGATGATTTATATTATAATATAAGAAATCGTAGAGTCTAAGGCCCAGTTTCTCCAATGTAAGATTAATTTTAATCTCGATTTAACTTATTGTTTATGTTTTTCTAACTGTTTATGCTACTTTCTATCAATGTAAATTAACTTTAATCTCAGTTCGACTTATTCTTTATCTTCTTCTAATCCTCAGAACTAGAAGAAGAGATAGTTGCATTGGAATTAAACTACATCGATAGGAACGGGCATGATTTTTAGAATTAGAAATAGATAGAGTAAATTGAACCAAGGTTAAAGTTAATCTCACATTGATGGAACCGGGCCTAAGTAAACAAAATCCCATTTCATTGGATCACTAAGGATCAACGACTTTCTAAAAGATATTTAGGTCCCTATTCTATAATTCTTAATGACGTAACGTTACATTGTCGTCGCATGTTGTACAAGATAAAAAAAGGTACGCAACAACAATGTAACGATAGCGTTAACAGTTACAGAATAGACATTACAGAATAGAGGCCTTAATTCGGACTCGGACGGCGGGTTAATTTTTTTCCGTACAGGCTGACGAGGGCTGACGTCGCTGACGAGCGTCGCGATCGACCCGGGCGGCGGGTCTCGCCCGCTGCAGTGTAATTTTCAAAATGGTCGTTCTCGCAAAACAGCGCGCGGCCGGCGATCGATCGTCTCAGCGGCCGGCGATTTGCGGTGTAACGACGAGGCAGCGGGGGGAAAAAAAAAAAAGCGCGGGAAATGAACCGCCGAGCGACGTACGGCGCCCACGGTTCGACCCCCGCGCGCCAGGGGTAACCCACCCACCTGATGCACGATGGGGACGATGGGCGACGTACGTCGGTGGGACCCCGCGTCGGCGCGCCGCGATTTTTCGCGCTCGAAACGCGGTGGGAGAAAGAAAGGGAGCGCGATTCCGCGGCGGAGGATCAATAAAAGAGAAACGTTATACAAAACGAGTCCGCCGGAAGTCGTCCGAGATAGCCCATCGTCCTGTCCCGGCGCGATCTCGACCTTTCCGCCTCCCCTTCCCGCCCGTTCTCCAGCTATCCTCTCCCCTCGCCGCGCTGTCGTCCCACTCCAGCGATCGCCAACCGACATTCCCAACATCGCCGGAACGTGGGCACTACGGCGTGACCCGGCGCAATACTTTTCCGGCTTTGAACGTTCTCGTTTGCGCGCGAACCGAGCGGCGCGTAACGCGAGCGACGCGGTGGGAAGAGATTCGTGATTAGATTCGACGAGTACGCCAATGTTATCCATGTACGCGTCTCAACCTCAGCAATCTGATCTGAACAGTTTATTCCGATTATCCGAGTAATTTTGTGTTGATCACGTAAACAATTTGTCACTGGTTTATAAAGCGTACTAGACTTAGATTAACTTTAATCTCAGGTCAATTTACTTTGTCCTTTTCTAATCCTAAGAATAAGAAAAAGGTAAACAGTGAGTTAAATTGAGATTAATCACATATTGGTGGAACCGGGTCTTAGAGATTTAAAAACTGGAGTATGAAACGCAAAAATCTTATTAAATCACCAGAGAGTTTGATAAATGCTTGCGTCCGTATTTGTAGCGATTTATTCGATGATGAATTATTCTATATTACGTTCTGATTATCTCATTGCGATAACGTCGCTCGGTTGCGATCACAACACGACATCGAGGAAGTTAAATTTACTCGAGTACTTGAGGGGATTCGGCTTATATTACAGCTATAAAATCGTAAAAAATGTTCATAAAACTGTTGCTGTGATATGATATCAAAAATAAAATCATAATCATATGAAGCTAAGAACTTAAATTAATAAAAGTCATTATTTCCTTCTAGCTGGTATCGCTAACGTCAAGTAGATTCAATCGGAATTAACTCTTTTACCTAACTTTAACCTGAACTCCAAGAGTCCTAGGACTAATAGTTCTGTTATACAGTTCTGAAATAGATTGTTAATAGTTGGATTAATTGTTAATAGTTTCAGTTAGTCTGATTAGACCATGGATATAGAATACATATATAATAGACTAAGCAATGCAAGAGTCGAACACACAACCTGCTGTAAAAGTACTACACAGAATACCTGTTTGTTTCTCTTGTATCTCATTGATAATTTTATCTCCCGCTGGAATTTAATCACCAATGAGATGCTAGCAAGAGAGATAAAACAAGAGGTACTACCTCTCATTTTACAACAGGCGCGCATTTGATTGCTCCATTCTGTCTGTTCGCTTAAAATTCCCCAAAATTCTTATACTTAAAATGATATAAATATATATTCGAGCGTTAAAAAGAGAGAAAATAAAAATGCTGAGTGCAAAAAGTGCAAGTAACGCAAACAGATCTTATGTATTGTTGGATTAGACAGAGAAGAATCATTCATGCTAAAACTAGCGTTATCCAATGTTTATGATAAAACTAGATTTCCATCTTCTAATATACTGTATCGTCAGAGAAGACGTAGAATATAGAGAGTTATAAAGCTGCAATTCAGCCGACATCTCCGTCGGTAATTTTGGCGAGTCACAAGACGTGTTTTCCACAGAATGACTCATTATCGAATGCACGACTTATAAGCTAGTCGAAGTGACTCACCTTGGGCGCGGGCGGTTCCCCGCCATCGCTGAATCTTTTGCCATGTGGTCTTTCCGATTGCCGAAAGAGCTTGCCATCTTGAATCACCAGTCCACGTTCAACTGCTCGCTTGGCGGAAAGTTTGAGGGAGATTCTAAGATCACCCTCGGCACTCTCCTCGACGGCGTGGCTCTGCCTAATGTATCTCTCGAGACTCCTCAGGCTCGAACCGTCGCGCTCGCCGAGTTCACGTACAGCCTTGCTCAAGACCTTGCTGAGATCTGCTGATCTGGTGACCGTAAGCTTCTTGGATTGGACAATACCTGGATCCTTGTACGAGGATTGACCCTTGTTGAAGATTTTGAGTACATCGCCGCGCTTCACGGCAATTTCCAAGTGTTCGGCGATATCCTCCTCGTGATAATAATGATGCTGGCGTATAGCGTGACATATTCGCTCGACGCTCGGTCGCTGTTTCTGACTACGTATCTTTCGGATCGCATCTAGAAACCAGGTTGACCATGTCTCGGGCGTCTCGGGCTCGTCCATCGCGTCTCCGTCGGCGGCGCGAGCGGCGCGGACGGCGACGACGACGACGTTGTCGACGAAGACGAAGTCACGGCCGGTGCTTCCTTCTGCCCTCCTCCTCCTCCTCCTTCTGCCGATAGGCGACGCCGTGATCAACGGCAGACGTTTACATTCTGTTGCAACTCTTCAGTTTCTCGGCTTGGATGCTAAGCCCCTCACCGCCTCCTCACGTCCTCACCGCAAGCTATTGCGCTGACCCTGAAACAAGAGCACGGTTGAACGGGGTTGCAGAAGTCGTTGCGTGGGAGTCTGCCGAGTTTCGGCCGCAGGCATTAAACGATTTTTCCGATATGCCGCACCGTAAGATGTATCTGACATCCTCTAACTCGTCGGAAGCTATCGGGTGACTGGCATATACGCCGTGCAAGAAGTTGATCGAATTACTCGTCACCGTTTACCGTAAAAGATACTTATCCAGAAGGATAAGACGCAGCATTGTAATTAAGCTATATGTGCAGTGTAATTTCAGTAAATTTTATTTTTTACCGATAATCTACGTAAGCGACTTCTTTGGACCTCCAAGTTGAGGATTCAATCATGCAAAACAACTATTATTGCGGATATGAAGATTCATCTTCAGGACAGGCAAAAATCCACTTGTTGAGTCAATGTTGATCAATTAAAATACTGTATGTCATTAAAATTCTACGTCATATATAATAATAGAACTAATTACATTAACACTAGAAATATCAAATATTATTGACCATTTCTTTTTTTTCAAATTAATATTATATCTTTTATGTAAAACATAAGATTCTGAAAATTTTTGACTTTTCAATAATCACGTCCTTTATATTGATAAAATATTTGATTTTAATCTCTTTCTTTATTTCCATGCAAATTTATTCGTTTGATTCTTTTGGTGAATAAGAAACGTTGGTATTTCTAGCATTAACAAGTTTTGTTTCAGAAACAATTCTGCGTCTTATTATCTGCAATATGAGCTTTGTGTTAAATTAACACAAAAATTTGAGTTTGAAACACGTAAAATGTGTTAAAATGAACACAAATTTTCCAATTATGTAGCAGTTGTTTTTTTTAACTAGCGCTTTGAAAAACACGTGGCAGTCAACGTGTTAACAAGAATATTACGCGCATGTTGAATTAGACTCGCGCTCCATTATCGGGAGCGCGCGTGAAGATCGTCCTCGCGTGCTCGCGGAACTTGCCAGAATTATACCGGCTTCGGGATTTATTCAGCGCGTCTTTGTTCGCTAAAACGCGGCGTTATACAACACCGCGTTCGATTCTACGATCGGGTCATGCGATTTTCGACTCCGGTCGTAAACGACTGTCCGGTTTCCCCCTGAGCGATGAACTTTCTCTTGCGCGCGCGAAGCTCACACGTGCGTGCATGCGTGCATACACGTGGCAACGCACACACGAGCGGTCCGGAGCAAATATTTAAAATCGCCATGCCCCGACAGCGGGTATTGCGCAACGCGCAAACAGCTCACAGGCGCGCGCGGTATATTAAAGTCGGTCGCGTGAATACGCTGAAACGCACGACGTCGCTCGGTGTGATCTACAGGATCATGACACAACAATAAGAATAGAGTAAATATATCGATTGATCCACCTGAAATAACCCTCAAAGAGACAACCCGCCAAGAAGCTCCGAAACTCTAAGGATGTAGCATACGATATCTCAGACCTGAGTTTTTTCACACGTACAGGTTCGATTGCTTTAAGAAACTCTCCTTGAATGTCGAAGAGATTGTAATTTTCTTCAAATCAATAAATAATAATAATAGTAATAATACACTGCCAATAATAAATAATGAGTTCATTTTATCATTTTAGTCGGTTTTATCTCTTCTTGTTTATTATTCTTTTAACATCTCATGTTTTTATTTTTTCGTATCCCTTTAAACTTACATGGCTGTGTTCAGTAGAAAAAGCAGCTCTGCAACTGTTGCAAATTTTTTCATAATTCTTTACAATGTTTTAAATCAATGATCAATTTAATTGTAACATTATTATTTTAGTTTGAGCTTATTTGATTGTATTTCAATATTTTCAAGTCCAACAGTAAATGGCGCGTGGTTCATTATAATGAAGGATCTATTTAAATTTAGATATTAAAAATATTATTAGACATCAAGATTTACCTTCGATTGTATATATAAATACTGAGATAATAAAAGAATGATAACAAGAAAGAATAATAAACAATTAAAGAAATAAAAATAACCAAAATGAGAAATAAATTTATTATTTATTATTGGCAATGTTTATAATAGTTTTAAGCTATTTTTAACATATCCTCTTTCTCTCAAAACTGATAAATGTATTACATAAATAATATTATAAAAATAGGTTACATTACTCAATTAATTTCTCAACAAATACATGTTCAGTTATATGCCTATCTAAATTATTTACTGATATATATATTTATCTTATTTGTAATTTTTGCCGTAATTCCCTTATGGTTAAAATTAACTTCAAAGAACTAAGTGAGCATTGCAATGTCTCAAAGTAAGATACACTATAACATTTCGAAGGAAGTCTCAGTGTCAGATAAAAGGCACAGCAATCCAGAAAAGGATAAACTTTTCAGACTAAACTTTTGAAGATCCAAGAAGTACTTCTTATAACCTTCTTCAAAACGTTGTGTCGATAAAATTAGTTGACCGCTGAACTTTCAGAATTGAAAAAAAAAAAAGGAAATAGAAAGAGAGGTCGAATGACTCTCGTTAGTAGCTTCGAGAGTCTCTGCCATAATCTGCCATGGCTTAAGCGTGAGAAACAATGCGCTTGGTGGTCACGTGGCCTAAATGCTCCTGATAGAACAACATGTATACGGCGTTTATTTAATGCGCACGGGATACACGAAGTGTAATTCTCCGGTAAGCATAGCGGAAAGTTCGACCGTAGGTCGGTCGAGAGATCCATTGTTCGAGAGGAGACAAAGACCACCCACCGTTTTCGTGCAATATCCATATCGCACAAGCACGCTTCGATCGCTGACGGAAATCGCGTTAAAAGATCATGTTCACTTCACAATTGGATAACAGTCGCTCAATCCGGAATTACACACCTTTTACCTATAGATACTCCCCTATTTATGTCGTTAGGTAACTGAATCTATAATCTGATTAACTACCCCGCTCAAAAGTACCTTTTCTAAAATCGTAAATAAGAAGATTAAGCGATTTGTATATCTATAACAAACCACGAACAGCTGGCTGTGTTCAGCGGAAAAAGCATTTCTGCAACCGTTGTCAGATTCTTTAATATGATTTTTAACGTGTAGATCCTGTGAGGAACTAAGCTTGGCAAGACCAATCATATTAAAGAATTTGACAACAGTTGCAAAACTGCTGGAACACAGCCACTGTTCTTGATAATTTTTTAATCTTTTGGAATAAATCTCACTCCAAAGAATTTAGAGAGTAAGAGAAAAAGATAACACATTCATTTACATTTTTCGATTCGTGAATCGAATTGACGACAAAAATGTTGGAGATCTTAAATAATTTTTTTACGCGACAATAGGTCATCTACACTGAAAAAAAATATAGTCAATTTTAATAAATATTTAGTTGAATATATGCCAACTAAATATTTATTAAATATAAAGATATATTTATTTGATACAAGAAATGTTAATTTGATTTAACAATCATTTTTTTTACTAAACAAATATTTATTTACTGTAAGTAAATATTTATTAAAATGGACCATATTTTTTTCTCAGTGCAAGAACTCTGATGGATATTTCCGAAATAAACGTCATGCATCAGAATCGGTTAAATGTCAACAGACGTGAAAGTTTGACAGAAAATGTTTCCGACACCGCGAGCGCGAAAAGGATTAATTATGCGAGAATTAAACGACAGCTGTGTCGCCGATGTAGTCGCGATACGAGTTGACCTAGGCCAGTGATAATAAATACAGGCGGTTTAAGCGCCGACATTCGTCGAGGAAGGCGAAAGAAAAAAAAAAAAAAAAAAGAGACACCACGGGACCTCCAGCAAAACCGGCTTCGTTAGAAACCCTTGCTACCGGGATATTCCTCACCACGTGACGCGTTTTTTATTCTCAAAAGTGATGTCTATACGATCCTCAGGGCCGGGTCCATGGTTTCCCGCCAAAACTCCACCAACTTGTGACAACCAGTCGTGTCGACTGTTCACGTTCGACTGTTCTCGAAACGATAAAATAAGGCACACATAATGCACTACACCGCAGGACTCTTTTTAGCTTTGAATAACCGGAAGATGACTACTTTGAAAAGCGTTGAAGAATTCTAAAAATTCGCCTCGACACGAATGAAACATTCTTTAGGAAATTCGTATTAACTTTTCTATTGATGCTTTCATTTTTACATTTTACAAAAATATACTTTAAAATGAAAACAAGATAAAATCTGTACAAAACAGTTTTTTGTAGTTGAAGAATGGAATTTTTTAGGAGTCATATTCGCATAAAAGTATGAAGATTTTTGCAATTATAATTCGAAATAGAGAGAGAGAGAGAGAGAGAGAGGACCTAAAATAAAAATTAAGTAAGAGGAATCCTATTTTTAAACCATTAGTGTCTGAATATTTCGGGATGTGAATTTATATATACGTTTCTAATTTTGCAAGCTGTGGTCAAAATATTTTTCAGTCTTAAAACGCAATTATAAATAGAACTAATATAATGCCACATATTAAATTGACAAGCAATTTAATAATATTGATGCTAATAAGCATCTTATAAGAATATTAACAAAATTAAAAAATTTTTAAACTATTTAAAATTCGATGTAGATATTTAAGATATTTAATTGAGAAAAAATTGCTTTTTCAAAAAAATATTAGTTGACTCAACTAAATGCAACAGTCACGGGCTGTCAAGCAAATATTTGTTAATCCATATAAATAACATGTTTTAAATTACAGGATCCTGTTAACCTAAATATACAAATACTTGAATTAAATAAATAATCACTACAAATTAAACACATTTAGTTAAATTAACAACTTTTTTTCTCAAAATACATTGACAGAAAGACTAATATACAAGAATGACAGCTTTTTTTTCGCAAGCCAAGCACATGGGGCGTAATGATGAATGAAACTCGCGATTCCAAAACACCATGCACAATCATGTACATTTTTTTTGTAAATAAATTCAACTGAATACTCGAGTTGTTCAGCAAATTCTATTATGAAACGATACTTTAAGAGAAGAAAGGAGACCAGTAACGCGTTAAAAATGTAAATATATAATCACACATACACACACATATTATCGCCGGAAGAATGACGCGACATGACGCAATTCGGCGGTGCACTCCAAGGCTCCCGTTGCATCGACGTCGATTAGCGCTAACATCTATTATCTCAGTTTCGTCGCTATATTTCAAGATACAATCGCTATCGAGAGAAAAAAAATAACGAGTCATTGGCTGTGTTTATCATAAAAAGGAGCTTAGCAACTCAAATTCTTCAGTACGATTGGTCTTATCTTCAGTTCATCACTGAATCTAAATATATAAACCAATCATATCAAAGAATCTCACAACAGTTGCAAAGTTGCAGTTAAACGCAATCATTAATTTATATTTCAACAATATTTACTATACTAATGCCTGCACTCGCAACGAAGCAAATCTCGCTTATCTGGTTCATGAAAGTTGTCGTATCACATTGCGTGTATCAGCTCCAGAGATTAAATCATAATTTCTGGAAAGGAGAAACGCGGCTGAGAAATTGGAAACCTCTCGAACACAGACGGCGAAGTCACAGGTAAAAAAAAAAACGTACGTCGAGCAGCGTCGACAGAAACGATCCTCGACTTCGCGCGTTGCACGCTGAAACGTCAATGGAACGCCGCGTGTTTATCGCAGTTTTATCATGCGGCTTCAATGAGAGATACCATAGTACTCGCATCTTTACTACGTGGCATGGAACTTTTAATGTTCCATTGACGCGCGCGGTTCTTTCCGCGGGACGGAGGGAGGGATAAGGTTTTCTACGAATGGCGACACACTTTCGGAGCGAGGTAACTCGCGAAAACCACGCGTGCGTTTCTCGCGAAATGTCGCGAGAGAGATCGCCACGGTGATATTCTTTCGAGAAAAATAAAGGGCAAAGCTGAAAATTTTAAGACTCTATTCCTTGATATTTCCAAACTAGTTTGTGACTGTTAAAGGTCTGCGCAATAAATTTCTGAAATTTTCTTGCGATATATACCTTGGACAACTAGAAGTAAAGCACAAGTCATCATAACATTAAAATGACGTCACACACAAAATAGCTACAACTTTGACTATTAAAAGTCACTTTTCAATCACGACGCGATTGTCATTTTGACGTCACTTTGATGAGGTGACTTTGTTGCTCTGTTTGGGCTAATATTGCACGAAACTAAATTTGTCGGTTGTTCTCACATAAAAATTCGACCTTCGGTTGGAATGCTAATTTATTAGAAGGAATTTCCGGTATATTACAATAAAGGACAAAACTGAGTTTCGAAAAAAATACATAAATTTGAAGAACTTTAGGTACCTGAAATGAATGAAGGTCTATTCTTTACAATAAAGGATGTATGGTCACCGTAGAAGATCGCAGGAGAGACGGAAAATTCCACGCAGTATAGTCTGGTTGCATTACTGAAATTCTGGTTGGAAATGGACAAACTAGAATTTTCTGATTGAATCTTTCATAATTACAGCGAAATAACCAGAATTCCGCGCAAATCATACGGAAAAAGTGACCAGCGTGACAAAGTATGACAATTTCAGCCAATGTGATCGAAGCCTTTTTCTCCGATACGCAACTCGGAGAGAAATATACGTATCTTCGATTTCGACGAAAGCCAGTTCTCCGACGAATGTGCGAAAATAATCGCGACGCTTCGTGGCGACGGAAACGCGGCGGGACGATGGCATAAAGGACGCTTCCAAACCTGTTTCAAGCATCCGGAACCTCGAGAATGGAAAAATTATTTCCTGGAACGCGTAGGATCCAGTAGGTAAGCCTTCCGTAGATGAGTTAAGGATCGATCACTGCATAGGACAGAACGACGAGAGAAGAGAACAGAGACAGAGAGAGAGGGAGAGGGATAGAAAGCGATGGAGGAAGGAGGCCGCGACGCGCATTTCGCTCTCCTCTCCGCCGTCTTTCTCCGCTCGCGCGCGCGGCTATCTTATTAGGCGAAATGAAATACCGGCTGAACGAACGAACACGTCCGTCTGTTTGTCCGCCGTTCGTCCGGTTAAAACGATGGGGCCGAGGGCGAAGAGAGGCCGCCGGCTGCGCGTGTTTGTCGGGGCCCCTCTCACCCGACGAACAAACGAACGAACGAACGAACGAACGAACGAACGAACGAAACGAACGTGTGAGCGAGCAAGCGGCGAGCGGACGAGCGAGCGACGGCGGCCGAAGGTGAGGACGCGGAGAAGAGTGGAGACAGAGAGAGAAAGAGGAAGAGGGAGAGAGAGAACGAGCCAGCTGCCGTCGCTACCGAGGAGCGGTTTGTCGTCAACGACCCTAACTGCTGCCGCCCGTCGCTCGGCGAAGCGTACACGCGCGAGAAACGTATGCGTTCGCCGTCATCCGTCCCGGCGGAGCGATCAGAGGCGAAAAGGCAGAAAAGGAGAGGAAGCGAGAGAGAGAGAGAGAGAGAGAGACGAGGAGACAAGCGGGAATGGACGGATGGGCGAGCGGGTGGATGAGCGAGCGAGCAAGCGAGCGAGCGATCGATCGGTCGGTCGGCCCTGGCGAGACGCAAATTGGCGCGCGATGGAAAATCGCGGGAACGCGATAAAAGCGAGATTGTGGGAATCGCGCGGGTCACCGCGACCCGCCGCCGAGCGTTAAACGGCACTCCGCCGTCCGACGGGTGGCCATTTTGAGCGACTGTTCTCGCGTGGGACGTTCACAGCGAGTTATATCCGCGCGAAATGACCTCCGCGATCGAGCGGATGATGCGCGGACGACGTCCGGGCGTTCGACAGCGACGGTCGGGGCGACCTCGTTGCCGACGGCAGACCGTCCGAGCGACGCGACGGACTTCCGACGGGCCGAGGACCGTGGAGTCGATGCGAGATTCGAATGACGCAGGCGAGTAAACGCCTCGACTGGACGTCGTGCCGATTGCCGACGGACGTGGTACTCGCTCCGACGACGTCAGCGCGACGTCGAGGCGGAGAGACCGGAGCGTGCGGGAACGTCGAGGCCCGTGCGACGGGCAGCCATCTTGAGGCCAGAGAGGAGTCGGACGGGCTGCTTCTCGGGTTCCGTTCCGCTCCGTCCGCGAGGCACTCTCGCGCGCCGTCCAGGCGTCGCCGACGTACGCGCGGGTCCTTCTCCTCCACCGCCGTCGTCGTCGCCATCTCCTCGCGATCGTCTCGCTTCCCCGCGCGGTCCCGGGCACGGCCCGTGGAAAAAAACGCTCCGATACCGCCGTACGATACCTCGTACGTCGGAACAAGGTGCAGGGAACATCCCGATACTCCAATTTCCTCCTCCTCTTCCCGTCGTATCGCGCCTTCTCACGCTGCTAAACGAGGCCGTGCTACAGACAGCCTCGCGACGGCACCGCTCCCGGTCCCCGTACGCATCGGACGAGTGACGACGGCGACGACGGCGCGTGGTTTTTCTACGTACGTAAGGTCGGCCGCGACGGCCTAGGAAGGCGGGCAGACGTTTACCTGTACGCGGCGATCCCATCGATATATCCAGAGAGCACGAGGCGATCGCAGGTCCACCGGGTTCTATCGTAACACGGGATACGTAATCACGAACACCAATTATCTCGCGACAACGGCGTCACATTTCACACAAATCAACAAAGGTTACCCACTTGACAAAGATGGCGGTCGCGCGGGGGTTACACACTACGCGCACGCGGTGGGGAGTGCACTGCGCGCACACCGTCGCGCTCCTCCGGCTCGCGACGGCGGAAGTACGAAACACCGAAACGCCGTAAGCGGCACGCGTTCCCGTCTGTTCCCTGCTGTTCCCTTCTCGCGTCGGCCAATCCCAATGCGGCGTCTCACTCGACAGTCGACACACACCGACGTACTCGTGTACTCGCACACCACGCGCTCTTTGCCAGCAATGCCAGCTCTTGCGTTGCGGTCCGATCACATGGCGTCGCACCGAGTCCAACCGAGTCCGAGATCCGACTCCGAACCTGTCCGACTGTCCGACTCCGATCCGAATGCCGTGACGTATGTGTTGCGCGCGCGCGTGCGCACACATGGAAGGGCGAGTGCACGTACGTCGCGTTGCGTCTCGACTCTCGCTCGCGTCGCCAGCGGCGAGACGTCGTGTGTTATTAATGCGTGCGTATGCTCCGGCCGCGAGTAGCGTTCTCGTGCGATCGGCCGTGTTAATAGTCCGATTGTTACGACCTGAAAAATTAGGAGACGAGCTAGAGTCTCGACGCTAATCTAACCTTACCCGCGGACGATATTATGCTATGCTCCAAACCACGTGCCAGACTGGCAAACTCACGATGACGTAATATCTATTCGACTATTCGACATCGGGGAAGAAAGGATATGAGGAGAAGGGGAGAAAAGATTGATGATTATTTCGTATAATATGTATACATCATAGACCCAGCATTGTGTCTGTAGATTGAAGCTGAAAGTTGACTTAAAAAGCCATTGGCTTTTATAGAAGTGATAATAATATCACAAGGACATCGTCATAACTTTATTTGTCACTTAATCAAGGTACCATCAAGGCAAGAAAAAGTTAAAATGATCTTATTTATGTGACGTTATGGAAGTAAAAAATTATGATTTTTTTTATTATAAAATTTGACTGTTTATTGAATAAAAATTAGATCATTTTGATTTTTTATTAACTTTTGTGTGTTCCTTGGATATAAGTTCATTTTTTAATAACAAATGATGGTTTGATGACATTTCTAAACGAACCCAAAGTGGAGATGAACAGTAAGTTTAGCTGAAAAGAATGTACATTGAGACAAAATGAGAAACTAAATATCAATTTATTTTATATACAGGGCTGAGCATGTATTAGAAATACTTTTTTTAAAACATAGTTTTTGCAATACAAGGGTATTTTGTATTTCAGCAAGGCAAATTACGTATTTTATATTTAAAATTGAAAGATTGAAATAAAATTTTATATATTTTATAATTCAAGTAATAAAATTGATTGTCAATTATAATATTTGAAATACAAAATACAAAGCACTTTCATGTTCTCTGCTAAAACACAAAATACAATTGTCTTACAAATACTATTTTTCAAATAAAAATATTTCAAATACGTGCCCAGTCCTGTTTATATATTTATAAACTTATTTACTGCCAATTTTCAGCTTCACTTCGTACTATATAAATATAGTAAAAGCATAGAAATGCTTGGTCTATAATATGTTGTTGAACTATTCATATAGGTAGAATACAAGAGACTGTGGCTGTTTTAACAATGAAAGCAACTTTGTAACTGTGTTGTAAGATTCTTGAATGCAATTGATTCTTGCACTTGGTTCCTCAATCAAATGTATAAATTAATTTTATATGTATAAATTAATCACGATAACTGGGTGCAACAGAAAAAGCAACTTTATAACTATCGTAAAATTCTTTAATATTGTAGATTTATACCGTTTATACATATAAATCCAGTAAGGAACTAACGGCAAGACTAATCAAAGAATTTTGCAACACTGCTTTTTCTGCTGAACGCAACTATTAAAGAATCTTACAATAACAATTGCAAAGCTGTTTTTTCTGCTGAATGCAACAATGTTCAAAGGTTCATTCGAGTCGCATGCTCAAACATGCTCCGTTGATCATGCAACGCGGACAAACTTCAAGACAATAGTTCCGTAAAGTATCACGTGGATCAAGAAATAAAGTATTAGGAAAAAACATGATTAACACTGTATTCTCTTCGCAAAAAAGAATAACGTTGATGCACTCACAAGGATATTTCACAGTATATACAACTCTCGATGTCCTTTGTTTTTCCAGATTGAAACTTTCACACATCGCACGTGCAAACGGAAAAACGTGGAACTTCTCGAATGTCGAACAGAGAAAGATCCGTAGGTCGACCGGTTGCGAGATGCACTTGACATGCGCCCGACTGTACTGCACAAACACACTGTCGGTCACATATACACGTATACATGTATGTGTGTATGTACTCGTTTACTAAAACGTTGCAACATTTTTTTCTCGAACTCACCCTCGTAGAGCAATTGAATATAAATAATTTGATTCATAAGTAAAAATCAATCGCTCGATGAACAGGCTGCATTTCGAAAGCCCGCATCGAAAAAGAAGTGTTGCAATCTTTTAGTTGCTTTTAGTAAAAGACTGTACACGCAATCGGTATGTGTACGCACCGCGCGCGAAATACAAATCTGTACGAATCCACGACGCGTGCGTGTGCGTGAACTCGCGTATCGCGCGCGATACTTCAACGGCGGTACTGGGCGATACCGCGTGACAAAAAGAGGGACCCATTTCGCGCGGCAACGGCAAATATGCGGCACAATGGCCGCCCGCTTCTCGATCGAGGCGACAGGCGTGCATCCGATGACCAGACGACTCCGACGAGCCCGACGAGTGCCACGCAACGCAGCTGAGAGAACCGGGAGAACCGCCGCGAACGACGCTAACAAGACGCGACAGAGACGTACTCCGATGTCTAAACTCGTTGGAGATAATTGTTCCCTCTTTTTTTCTCGGCTGCGATGCACCCTCCTTGCACTTCTCTCGCGTCGTTTAAAATTCAGAGGGCTGATATTAAATCTGTTCTTTTTAGCTTTTTACACGGTTCACATCTTTCCTCCTTTTCTCTCCATATTGCGGAATAAAAGACGAAGAATGAACTGTCCAAGTTCAGCTAAAAAAATAGGCCCATTTCATTTATCGTACGAAAAAAAATTTTTATTGCGTCAATTGGATACAAAATAAAAAAGTTCTCGAGTTTCCAGGAATTCTCTATTTCGTAAATACCCAATCAATACACTTAAGAAATTTGTCGTACGATAAATCAATTATTAGCCTAATGGCTGCGTTCAGCAGAGAAAGCAGTTTTGCAATTGTTGTAAAATTCTTCAATATGATTGGTTCATACATTTAGATTCAATGAGGAAATAAGGGCAAGATCAATCATATTAAAGAATTTTTAAAATAACAGTTGCAAAGCTGTTTTTTTTTGCTGAACGTAGAAAAATATTGCTATCGAGAGTGGTTCACTTGCACACTGCCAATCACAGCAACTTCTGTGCAAAGGGAGTTTTTTTTATTTTTTTTTCCTACCGCTGATTGGCTTGTGCGTAATTGATATACACCCACTGCCATCAATGTAGAGTAAAGCTTGTTTTTTTAGCTGAACTTCTTGCAGTTCACTTTTTTTCTTTCTTTTTTCATGTTGAAGAGAAAAAGAAAAGATAAACTGTGCAAAAAGCTGATAACCGTTTTTACTAATGCAGTTTAATTTTAATCTTGGTTCAATTTAACTTTTTATAAGAATTAGAAAAGAGCAAGTTGTGAATCAAGATTAGTCTTTCATTGATGAATCGAGCCTAAAAACAGATTATTAATTTTAATCTCAGTTTAATTTATTTTGTATTTTTGTCCAGATTTTTTTAAAACTTGGAATTTTCTTAGAAAAACAAAAACAAGTTAATTAGATCGAGATTAAAATTAATATACATTAGTAGAAAATGTCAAATAAACAACTCAAGTAGAACATAAAGTCATGATAATGTCATAAAGATGTCATCTCTCTTTCTCATTACCTTATTTATTACATAAATTCATTTATAAATGAAAAATGATGTCCTATGATATTATTATAACTTAATTATGACTGTTCTACCTGGAAATCTCTAAAGAAAATGGAATTTCCCCCCCCCCCCAAAAAAAAACGAATGAACGAATAAATTTACATGCTGCTAAGTTTCAACGCGGAAAGTTCCTCTCGTATAAAATACGCGTGGATATATTTATCGTAAATGGAAATCGATAACTTAATTTAAGACGGTCACGCAAAAGCGACAGATCCTTCACGTCAATTTAACATTAATCTAACTTGTACCTCTGTATTTCTTTATTCGTAAAAGAAGCGAGGAAGCACGATTGTTCCAGAAGCAAAACCGAACACTAATATCGCGATCGAACGATCGTCGTAAACTCGTTTCACCGAAAAGTGCTGTACGACGGAGGAAGGTGCTGGATTAATACAACACTGCCCGGTGCAGCGAGTGTGACGCGCGTCACTTCTGTTTATATGCAAAACGCACAACATGTCCAATGCAATTTCGTAATGAGATTATTGATTTTTTTTTTAAGAACCGTCCATCCGTCCCGCCCGCCCCCATCTCATTCTCTCTCTCTCTCTCCCTTGCCCGCTCGATACGTCTCCGTCCCGCTCCAAACTCCGCAGTTCGGCCGCATATCGCACCGCGCACGACGCACGCGTGCAGCGTCTCGCATAATTGAATACCCTGCACTCCCGGACGGTATCGCCCGTCCAGCGGCCGCGTATGCGAAGCTAACCAGCAAATTCTCGGTATAATATCTACATACCTCGGTGATTGTATTGATTTTCCCCGACAGTATGTAAATTAACGTACGGCGACGTAAGTATGCGCGAGGGAGAAATTCTGCGCAGTTCACGTCTCTAGGCGAACACTCGTGAAACAATTTAGGTTTAGATTAAATTTTAATCTTGGTTCAACTTACACTTTATCCGTTTCTAATTTTTTAAACTAGAGGATAAAGAGTCGAACTGAGATTAAGGTATAGTGAATTCGGTATTTGCATAACACTGGATTAATATATACTAACAATTGTAAGAGCTGCTATATATGAAAGTAGCAAAGTTAAATGCAAAAGCATATAGAATATTTTGAAAGATTAAATACTTAATAATGATATTATTAGCAGAATATACGTGGGTAGTTAGTGACT